TATGATGTTATTAATTTTTATCAATTCAATTATGAGTTTATGTAATTGCTAGCATTTAAGATAATTCATCAGTTCTTGTTAAAATGTTAACTCTTCATTACAATCTTTTGGATTCAAAATTTTTGGACTTGAACGATATATAGAACCATACTTTGATATTCTGAATGAAATTGTTTAATCAAAGTCGGATAATTATTTCGAAGGTGCGACATACTTATTTTCGGCGCCTTGTATTCAATGACTAATCCATCATATAGATTTATCAGACGACTAGAAGCCATTGGGTCCAAAACCAACTTAACGGCTTTACTTCTCATGTGATATAGAAGATTTAGTAAACGAGTCAAAAATGACTGCTGTTAAGTTACTTGTTTACATTGCATCATTATGAAATAGAAAAGTACAGTGATAAACAACTTTAACGATATATATAATGAAATAATGCGGATGATCCTGTTTATAATCAACAAACGAACTGTATTTAAATACTTTTTTGAAGTATTTTGCTGAGATTGAATTACAATTCAATCGGTCTTATTATTAAGATGAATATTCAATATGGTTTTTCTAATTATTTTATGCAGCAATTGATAAATTTTATTGAAATTTCTTTGAATCTACCCTTCAAAAACATCTTTGTATAATGTTACATGGTGACCTCAATCATCAAGTTATCAAAAAAAAATTACACATTTTTCATATCTTTTATTTATCTCACTTCTCATTATTAATTATCATAGGTGAGAACATGAAAACAACACATGGTGGAACGATTACGATAATATTCGGATTCGAAATAGTATCTTTGTTGGACTTTGTATATTTGTATTAGACAACTACAAAGCTTCTTTCACAAGAACGTATTATTGTATTTGTATACCTTTTTTTCACACATATACTACGTATCTAATTAGCGTGTGTTAATCTTAATGACCGAAGCCTACTTATACAATAAAACTTCATCAAAACAGGAAAAAAAGCATACACAAGGTGTGGCGTAGAGTCTAATGGCAGTGAGTAAATTACGAGTAATAGTTCGAAACTGTACCGCTTACTATACAGTGACAAAACTTTATCATTTTATATGATTACGACACTCATTCCTACTGTAATCCATCAGCAGATTTTATACCCTTTACGATTTTTTACTGTATCAGTCTCTTCGATCTAGATTGTTCCATTTATTCTTCACAGTCAAGGTCGATGAGTTTCGGTAAAAACTAATACAGAAGTACGTTATTTTATTAGTCGTTTTCGATGATCAGAATGATGTTAAATATGAGCAACTCAGGGACGTGCCCAATGGGTGTGGCCTAGGCATCTCCTTGGAGAAAAAAATGCCTGGAGGAGAGTACAAGGCTAAAAAAACAATATATAGGATCAATAAATTTTTTCTGCTGGCAGGCATCCCCCTTAGAAAATTTCTGGCTACGTCCCTTGAACTAACTCCTAATTTAGTATAAAATATTTTACTTTGAGCTTTGTCTTCTTCTTGACAAAGTTGTGGTGGATAATCATCATCCCATTCAATGAGATCATCATCACATAAAATCACTATTTGACATTCGCGATCACCACGCTAAAAAAAAGTAAATGAAATTAAATCAATATAAGTAAAAGAGAAAAATTCAAATTTACTTGAGCAGATTCAACAAGCACAGGGAAAATATCATTTTCAAGAAACATTTCAAATTGTTTTTTTGCACCATCATTAGATAATTCATGTAATAATCCACCTGAAAAGAAAAATAAAAAATAAACAACATTAAACAAAAGAAAAGAAACTCTTACATAAATCTTGACATTGAATAGTTAGTTGATCAAATGGTATAAGAAAATAATCACATGCTTCACGTAAATCTTGTATACTAACCGAAGGTGGACAACGTATTGTTCCAATACTATAAAAATCCTAAATTAAAAAAAAAAAAAGTATTATCGTTAAGATAATTATTTGAATATTCTTACCAATAAACTTCGAAATATAGTTGCTGATATTCCATTAGCAATTTCATATTCTCCTCGTTCATTAGGTACGAGTGATGTTTCCCATGATATACTAAACATTCTTCCAAGCATTGTATTAGGATGTGCACGAAATAATTGTGGATCAATAACAAATCTTGTTTCATCAACAACAAGTGTAATACGATCAGAATTATTTGTTGTTGTTGTTGATACAATTGTTTGATCTTGAGTTTTTTTATTTGTTTGAATTTTACTTGGACTTGATCGATTATCATCAATAGTTCTATGACGATTACGATGATATTGATGTATTGGAGCACCAATTATACCTGATGTACGATCATTTGTTGATATTGGTGATGAAGATTTTGATTTATTTTTTATTTTTAATGGTTTTATTGGATGATTTGGTACTTGTAATTCAGGACTTGTTGAACCTTAAAATAGTTTTAAAAAGAAAAATATATATAAATATATAAAATAAATAATAATTACCACTAGGAACTTTAAGAATTCCATGTGTTGGTTGTTCATTTGAACGTCCTGTATGTGTTGAAGATAATTTGATTTGATTATTTTCATTTAATTGAAGTTCTTCATCACTTGTTGATGTTTTTTGTACAAGACATGGTTTCATTTTATTATTTATTCGTTTGATTCTATTCAAAAAAAAAATAAATAAATAGAATATAAGTTTTAATATTGTTAGTTTTTTTTTTTTATTTTTTTTCTATTGTTAATACCCTCGATGCATAGATGATGATGAACTTTCACTATTAGTATTAGAATCTGAACAATTTTTTGCACAATCAGAATCATCTGTATCTGTACTAACATCATGGGATGTTGAGCTTTTTTTATTCGAAGCTGCCATTATGCCTAATTATGAAAATAAAATGTATATATATATATATATATATATATATGTACATGTTCGAGAACCTTCAGTAATATCATATGTTTTTTTTACCTGAGATAATTTGATAAAATACTTTTAATACAAAGAAATATATTTATCACATCGATAATCTATCAAGTATAATTTACTAGGAAGGTTTGTTTATGCAAGGAGAATATTGTCGAAATAATGACGAGAATGAATGAGGGAGATACATAAATAATGACAATAAAAATGGCAATGTATTTTATTGACTATTATTGATGACAAATCAAGTAAATGATGTCGCTACTCATCAATCAAAGAAAAAAAAAAGCTTTATTTTAAATTTATGACACAATCAAATATCAATTTATATGAATAAAAATTCTGTGACATATGAAAAAAGAATCAGTTGATCTAGTTGAATAATAGGAAAGTTAATCAAAAGGCTTTACTAAATATGGGCAAGATACTGTCGAGATCAGGACGAAGTTTTTGTTTTTTTTGTAATTTGATCGAGACCGAAACAAAATTATTATTAACTGGTTAGGATCAAAGTTTTTTCGGTCAGTATTAAAAGCGGAACTAATAATTTTTTTCATCGGAAACCATACCTTTAATAGTTGTGTAAAATTTATGTCAAATGTCAGATTGATATGACTGGTATGTTCTTGATAGACATTATCAAGATGGATCTGTCATGTCTGGCTCTTATACTCGAATAAACTAAATGACTCAATCAAGAATGGAAATGAAATTTGTGCTTAGATTAATGAAGAACAAATTAGGATAGGGACAAAAATGGATTCTTTTTTGTGTTTAGATTTTTTTAAAAATGAATGTAGATCAAATTTCAAAAGAATACATCTAATCGAATTTTCAATATTCATTGAATAAATTTTTTATGTTTTTAAGGATTCGATAGATATCTTTTTGAAATCTATAGTTATGAAAGAAAAAAGCAAGATCAATTATGTTTTCAATATTGATTTTTTTATTTTCAAATTGAAGCAATATCACTGTTCTCTTCAATACTTACTGAACTATATTTTGAATGGTAAATAAAATAAAAAAAATAGTATATTTTCCTTGATTTATTGCTTAATCATGTTACTTACACTTTTTGAAAAACAGGAAATATTAGATGATTTGATAAAATGAGTTTAGTTGCATGAAAGGAAAGGAATTAATATAAATTTAACATATCCTTTCTTTGTCTTTTAATCTATAAACTAAATATAATTAAATAGAAAAATACTAATAATATTATAGACTTAAAGATAAATAGTACTATATAAATATGATTGCGTTTGATAAGAAGAAAAAAAAAAGTAGGATTAACAAGAAGATCCAATAAATAGGTGAACAGCTTTTGATCTTTGTTTATAACTTATTAAAATCTTAGATATTGAAAATATTTAGCAATAAAATTCATTTGTATTCTATTTAATAATAAACTCATATATCACAAAATTATTTTCTTCTCTAAACGTAAGCAATAATATTAAAGTCAACTAGTAGTTCATTATCATGAAATAAAACATCTGATAGTCATTATCTCTTATTATAGTAAATACGAACGAAATAGATAAATAATAAGCATATCCCTTATTTGTTGTTGTTTTTATCTATAAATACCAACTATAATTCATCTTATTATTTATTAGTTTGATTTATTGTGATATAACATCTAGTCAATAGATTTTATTAAAAAAATATAATTGCACTTGTTTTTACGTATACTCATATCATAAAAATATCAATCAAATTATACAGAAGAATATAATTAACTTCAAAACATGATATATAGAGATTGTTGACCCAGTTTGTCATATACGTTCGTACCTTTAGTCTTATATATCTAATTGTTTAATATATTCTAGAAAGTTCTTGTTAGCCAGAATAATAAGATATCTACGATTGGATGTGTTAAATAAATTATTTTGTCTGTAGGCTAAAGATATCTTAACATCATATGAAGAGAAGATAGTAAGGAAAAGAATGTGTTATTATAAAAAGACGCAATATAAAAGAATTTTTTATCTTTTTTTCAATTATTAACCTTGTTTTACAGCACACTTTTCTTTTCTTTTTCAAAATTATGAAAAGTTTTATTATCTACATGAAAAAGAATTATTTATATTTGAAAATATTAATATTGATTATGATGAATATTGTTTATTTTTGTTAAACGATCTAATCCATTTTGTCTTTCAAATCGTTGATATTGTCCATGATAATTTCTATGATCATAATAAACTTCTTGCCATATATCAGCAAGACATACACTTGAATGAAATCGATATAATATTGATAATGGAGATGTAAATGCTTGAATTAATGACCATGTTCTACTATTATAATATTCAGTTTGTATTGGATTAAGTTTAACTTTATTTGCTGATAATGAATCATGCATCCATATAGCTAAATCATAAACTTATATCAAAACAACGAAAAATTATTTTCGAAAACAAAAAAAAAACAACAATATATATGCTCATTTAATTATTTCAAAGTAAGAAAATCATGTATCTTATATATAAGAAATAACGAAGAATATATACATATTTGTTTCTTTTGAAAATAACGAACTTTGCCTGATGAATGTTACCTATTTTCTTTGACCTATGTCAACTATATTTACATATATTGAATAAATAAAATGGTATATGATTCTATAATTATGTTTTTCTTTTTATATAAATAAGAATAACAGTCGCTTACCGAGATTAATTAATAACAAAGCAGTTATTAGTTCTCGTCCTGGTTTTTTTCTTATTTCACTTTTTGTAATTGATCGTCGTCTTAGAGTATCCAAAATAAAACCAGATTGTAAAAATGTTTGTAAAATAGATAATAGAGCTATAACTATTTCAATAAATCTTGGAAGTTGAATTCTATATGATTCAATAAATATAGATGCAAATAAACCAAAAAATGAATAAGCAAAATCACCAAATGTTGTTACTAATATTAGTATTTGATCAAATACATCAATATGTGCTTGTCGATCATAGTAAAGTTTTGTTGTATAAAAGAAAGATATACAAACAATTAATAATGAAACAATAAGTAAAACAAGTTTAGTTATATGTGTTATTAGAATTGTTAATATTGAATTAAGAATATAAACTGGTATAAGTGTTAATATGGTTAATATAAAAATAATACCACCAAGAAGTAAACCACGAGATGCACGAGAACAATCTATTGTAAATATATGACGATCACCAAAATGTAAAAATGATCGATGTTCTGTTTTACCAACATTACGCCACATTATATAGAATACAGTTACACATATAAGACTATATTCAATGAAACATGGATATAGATATACACTCATACTTGATTCTATTTTTTCAATAAATTCAAGAGCATTTGTTGTAGTATTATGTGAATTATCGAAGAAAGATCCACTAACTAAAATAACAACAGAAATTTATTTTGTAACATAACAAACAAAATTTTTTTTATTTAGATCGTAGTTCTTTTTCTAAAGAGTTCTTCTATGAAATGAAATTTTGTAACTGATTGATCAATATATGAAGTTCAAAAAAGTATGTTTTTAATTTTTAAAAAGATAGAATTTAATGACATGAGGAAAAGTTAATAAAATTCTTTTTAGGAAATTTGTCTTCTGAATGAATTCCAGCTGACATGATGAGATTAATAATCAAGAAGAAGAAATATCTATTATCATTGTCTCATTTAAATAATTGAATTGACATCTGCATCGCTCATCCATTAGAGTATATTATACAAGATATATGTCTTTCTTAAAGTCGTAGAATTTTGATAGAGTATCGGATATGACAAGGACATCTGAACTCGTAGTATTCTTGATATTTCGTCAGCTGATAAAAATCAAATAGATCTTTTTTTTTTTGATTTCAAAAAAAAAATACTTAATTAACGAACAATAGTATGTTTAAGCAATAAGAGAAATTTGTTTTTTTTCCATGGTAATAACGTTTCTTGGCATAGTACATTGGTTATCAAAAAAAGAAAGATTTATTGTCAATGTTATTATTTTCCATCAACATATTATTTTTATTTATGCGTGGGTATAGACGCTAAAGAATATATTGCTCGTAAATAAAATGTTGACAATGTCATGTCATATTGTCATTCTGTTCCACTTCTGTCTTTTTTTTGTTTTTTTTTTAAATACCTGATTTTGAAATGATAGGTTTAGTTATACTTCTAGTATTGAAAATCATCGGTATATTTATTGATTTTATACTAATTGAATGTTTACGTAATTCATCCAATGTTTCAATTACAATAGCTAAGAAAAGTATAGAAATTATTTTTCGATTATAATAAAGTGTCTCTTTTACCTTCAAACCAAGTACAAAAGTTAGCAATAATTATATGAATAAGACCTATTCTTGCCATTAAATGATAGCGGTCAATGACAATCTATAAAAAGAAAAATTTTTAAAGACAAACAAAAAAAAAAAAAAAACTAACAATTTCATTCCAGTACTCACATTTCCATATCGAAATAAAAATATAAATTGCACACAATGAAAAAGAAAGCGAAATATAAAAGTAATTAGTTTAATGACAAACACTGATTGTGAATAATTAATTAAAAGTAATTCATTTTGTTTTGAACCAGTTCGTATTACTTCAATTGTTTTTGCTAATTGAATAATATTCAAAATAAGACTACCCATACAAAGTACTAATGATCAACAGAAACATTGACCTTAATTTATTTACAAATAATTTTAACACTTACATCCAGCTCCAATTCTCATAAATAAGCCACTAGTATTATACGTATCAGGAAAATATGATATTCTATCTGGATAATGTTCAACAATATGCATATATTCTTCTTGATCATGAACTGATGATGTTAATTTCATCCATTGTTGACGAAATTTTATTATATCAAACGTACACCATATCATCCAAATAATTGAAACAAGATAAATATATGTGTAAACAACCTGAAAATCAAAATAATAAACAAAAAAAAAGGAATTATTTATTGACGAACAATATACCTGCATTGTTATTCGAAGATTTACTTGATCTTCTCGTATAGCTAAGACAATGACCATACATAGTATAAAAATAGTGATTAATATACCTATTTCTAATAAAAAAGTTGATGATTGAAATGTTCGTTTTGGTTGATAAGTTGATTCTTGTTGAAGATATGGTAATGCAAAAACTGGTGGTGGTGGTAATTCAGGAGGAGAAGACATACATATTGACTGTCGTTGGATATCATTTACTTCATAATCTTCAATAATTGCTGATGCTGCATATTGAATACTATTCTGATTATTGCTTATTTGTTTTTGTGTATCTATGGTTTCGATGATTTTTATGTCGATATCATCTAAACTATGATGTTTTGGTTTTGATTGATTATTATTTATTGAACTTTGAAGTTCTTTATAGATAATAGTTGGTGAAGTATAAATAGAAATGGATGTTGATTCTGTATTTCTTGTATTTATAGAAGAAGTTGAGAAATTTGAAATTCTTTTATGTTGTTGACTAGATTGAAAATGAATTGTTGCTGTTGATATTGTTGGTGAAATTAATGTTTCATTTGATGATTTCTTTTCTTGTTCAATTTCATTTGGATTTAAACCATATTTACTCATCATTGATCTATTTGTTGAATTTAATGATGATAATGATTGTGTATTATGTTTTAAAGTGATTGGTTCAGATGGAGAATCGTTTTCTTTTCCAAACATATTAAATTTTCGAATCATTCCATGAACTGATGAATATGATGAATAAATGCTATTATGTTTGGATACTTGTTCAGTCATTTTATTTTAATAGAGAATGTATTTCATACAAACGTTGACAATGAATAAAATGAAAGAGAAAAGGTACTACAAAAGGTAAAAGAAGAACAAAAAGAAATGCTTATCAGCTACCGATACTATTGATAGTTATGATAATATCTTTCTTTTTTAATGCTCTTGATAGATGATAGACTTGTACTTTTGCTCAGTAATCTTTTGTTTGTTTTATTTTTCTTTATTTATTATCACAATGTATGAGAGAAAAAAAAAGAATTAAAATGTCAACATAAGTTCATCATAACTTCTAATCTTTATAATATACAGATTCATGTTTTTGATTTTTAACAATCAAAATATGAAATTCTTTTTTTTTTGTAATATTCTGAATTAATTTATACGTGAAGAAGTTTTTATTACAATGACGAACAAACGATATTGTTGATTAACAATTTCCATAAATGTTTTCGTCATTCTGCAATGAATTAAATTATGTTTAAAAAGTCGAGTTCAATCGTTATTTAACATAATGAAAGATATTTTCAATGACGATATCTCCAATTTCATTTTAGATAATGGATTTTCGAAGAATTCGGATAAATATGACACAATCAGAAAACTTATAGCTATTGAATGAATTGCGGCACTGATTGAAACATTGATGGAATGCAAAATAAAATGAATTAAAATCAAACTCTATTAGACTCTGATTTAGCACCCTCTTCCCTCTTATCAAACATAGATTTGTAGGTCAGATAGATTAAAATCACATGAAATTTTCAGTATATGTTGAAGTTGTAGTAAAGAGGCTATGGTAAATTTTCTGTCCTATAGGATAATGTTTTGCGAAAGATATTAAACAAACAAGGATCAAAAATTCAAAATCCTTTTTTTTTTAAATCTTACTTTGTAATGAGAGAAAAGGTCAAAGTTTTGACAAAATCTCAACAAGTGATGTTCTAATTATAATAGTACTTTTTTATATAATAATAGTAAAGCTTCATTCAAAAAAGATTGTACCATATTCTGTATTGTGATACACTTTTTCAAACGAAGAAGACTCACAGAAAATTGTGCATTGTACAATTAAGCAAAACATATTAAATAATCATGCATTTGTTAGAAATTGTAAATTGACTTATAAATTAAAGTAAGGATAGTACTGAAAGATTAGAACAAAAATATTTTTATTTCGTATATTGAATTCAAAACGAACAGGTAATAATTGTCTTTTATTTTAAAATTTTTCATTCATAAGTATAAGTCATACTACTTCGATCTTTAAAACCAATTTGTTCATTACATAAACGTTTTGTTGTTAGATGTTTATAAGTCCAAGCAGCTGTATCAAGAGCAACATCAATTAATTGTCTAGCTTTTTTATTTGTTATTCTTAATTCTGGTTCATTTTGCATTAATGATACTAAATTTGATAATTCATACCATGCCATTAATAATGGACCAGGTATTGTTTGTCGCATATGTTCTGATCTTGTATGCATTAAACTTCTTATATAAGCAATAATTGATTCGAATGTTGGTGTATGAACATTTGTTTGACCTATTTGGTTAACAACACGTAAGAGTAGATCAGTTATAATAATTGCTATTTCTTTTCCAAATCGTGTAGCACTATCAGTATCAGTTTGATTTAATGTTAATAAAACAGAACGCATAGTTTTTAAATTTTCTAATATATTTGTTATTTCATAAATGTCATTTTGTTTTTGTTCTTTATTTAATGATGATGATTGGGCCATAGTTGTAAGAGATTCTCGTAATGTAAGAAATTTATTAATGCGTGATTGTTGACGTGCTTCTTCAAGATATACAGTTGGATTCATACCCCACGGATAGATATGATTACGAACATCATTGTGGTCGAATTCTTGTAAATAAATATTCTCGTTGACAGTTGACAAATGTCTCTCATCTATAGAAAGATATGATTAACAAACACAAATTAGTAGAAGAACTTACTATCAATAACAGACATCTTATATAGAAAATAAATAGAAAGAGATAATGTTGAGCTGTTGTTACGGGTAACAATGAAGAAAAATATGATTAGAATGATATTTATATTTTTTGCTATTTGAATTCATATATTAGATTCTTTAAGATTTAAAAGTTTTATTTCGTTATTAATTAGACAGAGAAGTTGTTACATAAAATACAATAGTTTTTTTAATTGTCTAAGAAATTCTTTTGTATAAATGTTACTCTATTGAAAAATAAAGGCAAAATGCCAGATCTTGTTTTTCTCTCAAAGTTCTCATTAAGAAATATCGTTTATGAATAGAATTCTACAATAAAGATTAGTATTCTGATACAGTCGAGTACATGATAATCTATATAAAATATCGTACTAGTATGATAATTTGAATCTTATATCTGTAAACTGCTCCATTTAAGTATTTAACTATAAGGAAGTATATTAAACTATGTTTGAGACAACAGATATAAATTTCTAATATTTAATACATTTAATAATGATCTTAGAAACTGAACAAAAATAGTCCAATTAAAAGCAACGATTTTTTTGTAAACTTCTCATGTATTTGGATAGAATTTTGTTAGCTCATATAATATTAGTGTACTTAGATCATCTTATTCTTCGAACTAATTTGATATAATTTATCTTTACAAAGAAAGTATTTTAATTATTAAATAAACTATTAGAAATATTGTTCCAAATATAGGAGAATAGTTCATTTTAGAATTGTTCATGCAGAAAAATCTTATAAAATTGTAGGAATATCTAATTGTAAGATTTAATCTTTCTTTCAATATGTGGATATTATACGATTCTTAGTATAAGATTCTTTAAAAGTCTGATGATTGGAATCTTGTAAGACCTTATGCGATCGTATCAAATTATAATTTTTATTTTCACTTATAAAAGCAGTTTTAAGCATTAAAGTAAATATTTCAGCAATTAAACATGCTCTAATTTAGATGCTAATTTTTTAGTATTGAAAATACATCTATGTAAGAGCACTGATTTTGCTGGACCAGTATTGAGGAGTTGATAGTTATGTATAAGGACTAGCAGCGGTTATGGTATCAATAATTCTAATGACGAGTTTTGTCTAAGCCGTTGATAGTTATGTAAAAGAATGTCAATTAGATCTTGCATTGTGTGGTTAATGACACATGTACTTTGGTGCAATTGAATTTTATGTTTATTAATGGGGTTGTCACCTGTTTAGTTTGATTATGACTGCTTATTTGGAAGTAAGTTTTACATCTTTATATGAAATTTTTGGTTTTTGTTATAGGTTGATTCCAAGTTCTGATTTGGTAGCAAGTTTGTCTGATTAAATTTGAGTTTTCGTTTGGTTCGGTTTGATTTTCAGTTGGTACTTGAATGTAACTTTACTTCTTTTAATATATTGTCTTATTTTTATTGTAGTTCAATGTCATTTTCCGATTTAGGAGTAAGTTTATTTCGTTTGATAAATGATTCTTTTTGTGTTTCAGATTCGAATGAGATCTTGATTGTGATATTAGTTTATTGGCCTAAGTTATTAATTATTTATTTGCTGTGTATGGATTCGCAATCATGATGTGAAAGTAAGTTCATTGATCATAGTTGGTAGTTTGTTTTTGACGAGGGCCTATTCACAGATTTGAGGTAAATAATAGTTTTCTTTTTGTGCCTAAGGAGGTAGCCCTTGGAAATGATAAATTGCTTTCGAGTTGAGCCTCTGTGCATAAGGTACTTGTGAGTGACATAAGAAAAATCCCTGAAGGATGCCTTTCATTAGCTCTTCCCTCAAAAATTATCCTTATGTTACTAGAATTTTAGTTGAATGTTATCGAGGAACCCTATCTAGCTATCAATTGGATTTTGAGTTTGAGCCATGCTTGTCAGATAGATCTAAGTATGAAAAACTTCAAACGAACGAAGTTTCATAAGTCTTCTTTCAAAAGTTATAGTCATTTTCCTTGAGTTTTAACCTATAGTACCGTACATATCACTAAGTTGATTAGGAATATGTTTATTTAAGATTTCATCGAAGACCAGTTTATATATTTGAAGAGAATGTCGGAAAAATTTTAGCTCAAAAGAATGCGTTTTCCCATAGATACTAAAGCGCAAAACCGATACAACATTTCTTCATCTTTCATGAAATACAAGTGGTATGGTTGGTCTTAAGTATTTCTAGAAAAACGCATTCTTTTGAGCTAAAATTTTTCTGACATTCTCCTCAAATATATAAACTGGTCTGTCCATGAAATCTTAAATAAAAATATTCCTAATCAACTTAGTGATATGTACGGCACTATAGGTTAAAATTCAAGGAAAATGACTATAACTTTTGAAAGAAGACTTATGAAGCTTCGTTCGTTTGAAGTTTTTCATACTTAGATCTATCTGACAAGCATGGCTAAAACTCAAAATCCAATTGATAGCTAGATAGGGTTCCTCGATAACATTCAACTAAAATTCTAGTAACATAAGGCTAATTTTTGAGAGAAGAACTAATGAAAGGCATCCTTCAGGGATTTTTCTTATGTCACCGACAAGTACCTTATGCACAGAGGCTCAACTCTAAAGCGATTTATCATTTTCAAGGGCTGCCTCATTAGATGAATACATCTTCGAAGGTTTTGTACGAAACCTTTTGTACATCATTTTGGAAAGGTATCGTACTGAATCTTTTGTACGGAACCTTTTGTGCGAAACCTTTTGCACTTTTTCTGGTAAAGGTTTCTTACGAAACCTTGTATACGAAACCATTTTTCCCTTTCACCAAGAAGAAGTTTCATACAAAACCTTCTTTGTACGAAACCAAAAAAGGATCCGAATTTGTACTCGCGGTCAGATCCTTTTTTTGGTTTCTTAAAGTACCTTTTTTTTTACAGTGTATGCTCATTTGATTTTTAGAAAACGAAAGAAAAGTCGTAAACTTTAATAGTTTATTAGAGCATGCAATAGCTCGTAACTGTTCGTTTATTTTGTATTTATTCATGAAACGTAACTTTTTTAGCTTTACTCCATGTTGTGTATGTTTCTT